AGCCATGAATTCCTGGGCTGCAGTGATCCTTCCACCTCAGCCTCTTGAGTAACTGGGACTACAAATATGAGCCATCACGTTTGTCTTAAGTGTTCTTTTCTGATTATTAAAGCAGTGAGCATTGTAGAAAACCTAGAAAGCTGATAGGGTCAACTGCTGATGGCATCTTTTGTTATGTCTGTTTACTGTTGTTTTTCATATGCATAGAGAAAATACTGTATATGCAGGTTATTTTTGAATTTTATTTTGTATATGTAGTTTTACATCTTGCTGTTTTTCTTTTTTTTTTTTTTTGAGATGGAGCCTCGCACTGTCACCCAGGCTGGAGTGCAATGGTATGATCTCGGCTCACTGCAAGCTCCACCTCCAGGGTTCAAGCGATTCTCCTGCCTCAGCCTCCCTAGTAGCTGGAATTACAGGCGCCCACCACCACACCCAGCTAATTTTTGTATTTTTAGAGACAGGGTTTCACTATGTTGGCTAGGCTAGTCTCGAACTCTGACCTCATGATCCACCTACCTCGGCCTCCCAAGGTACTGGGATTACAGGCATGAGCCACTGCACCCGGCCACATCTTGCTTTTTTTCATTTAATATTTATCTTGAGATGAATTCCCACTCTCATTGGAAAGTCTTCATAGCTTTTTTTTTTTTTTTTTTTTTAAAGAGACAAATGTCTCATTCTGTTGCCCAGGCTAGAGTACAGTGGCGCAATCATGGCTCACTGCAGCCTCCAACCTCTGGGCTCAAACGATCCTCCCACCTTGGCCTCTCGAGTGGCTGGATGCCATCATGCCCAGCTAGTTTTTTCTTGTTTGTTTTTTGTTTTTTTGTTTTTTGTTTTTTATTTTTTGTAGAGACAGGGTCTCACTCTGTTTCCCAGGTTGGTCTCCAACTCCTAGGCTGAAGTGATCCTCCCACCTCAGCTTCCCAAAGTGCTGGGATTACAGGTGTGAGCCACCATGTCTAGCCCATAACATCCATTTTTCAAGATGCATGTGAGCACACATCCAGACCTCCTGTTCCCTTGGAGCCTGGTTTTGAAGTTTAGGTTCTGCCCCTTTCCTTCCTTGCTATTGGTGACTATTTGTGGCTGTTTTGTGGGGAGCATAGGTGAGACTGCTTTATAATCACTGGTACCAGCTGTGGGAGAGGGAGGGTCTGAGCTGTGGTTCCTGCCAGCTGTCAGCCATGTGACCTTGGCGTGGCCCTCACTGAACTGACCACCTCCGGGGCTCCTCCCGCAGTGACCTGTGTGACCTTGCGCTGTTGAAGCCCCTGTGGCAGCTCTTTACCCACATGGAGTACAGCCTGTTTGAGGACGTGACACAGCCCGGCATCCTCCTTCCCCTGCACCGTGCCCTCACTGAGCTCTTCTTCGTCACCGAGAACCGTGCCCAGGTGAGGCCTGAGGTCTGGGCAGGGAGCCCGGTGCCTCCGTGTGTGTGTGCTCCCTCTGCTACCCAGGGCAGAAGTCGCCACCCCATCTGAGCCTGAGTGGCAGGGGTCTCGACAGGCCACACAGGACAGGCGTGGCTGAGAGTCTGAGGCTCTCGCCTCTCCCAGCCCTGGGAAACCCTCAGGTCAGCTCTGAGATTGCCTGTTTTGTCAGGCCTAGAGCCAGTGGGGGAAAACCGCCTGGGATCAGCCCTGGACAGCAGTGAGTTTTGGAAAATAAAATGATGGGTTACTTCTGCTTCCTCCTCTTTTTTCCCTCCCCTCAGCACAATAGACTCATTGAATGTGGGAGCTGAAAGGGCCTTTCAGAGTTCTGTAGCTTCCCTCTCCTTTCACACATGAGGAAACTGGCCTGAGGAGGGGTCCCGGCCTGCTCACCCAAGGGCAGGTGGAGGCAGAGGCGGCCCCGGCAGTGGGCACCTGGCTCCTGCCAGTCAGGCTCCCGCCGGGGTTCTGAGCAAGGCAGTGCCACGCGGTGCCAGGCGGAGTGAGTAGCGTCCACCCACGAGAGGCTTCTGCTTTCGCAGGCGGGTGTCCCAGGTGGTCTGGGAGAGCTGCACTGTGCATCTGGCACTGCCGCTCACAGCCCCGCTCTCTCTGCAGGAGCTCGGCGTGCTGCAGGATTACCTGCTGGCCCTGACCACGGACGACCACCTTCTCCGCTGTGCGGCACAGGTACTCTCTCCACCCCGACAGAGCTGGCCCCCAGGCTGCGGGGCCACCATCTCACCATTGCCAGGGCAGAGAAGGTCTGCGCGCTGCGTCTGAGTAGGACAGAATCCACCCGGAGGTTACACAGAGGTTGTTACAGTTCTGTGACTGCACTTCCTCCTGGTGCGCAGAGAGCACTCATGAGCCCCATTTATCAGAGTCACTCACTCTAAACTGTTGGTCAGAAGAATTTGTGTCTTTAAAACCAAAACAACCGATGCCTTAAATTTAGTTTGGCTGATTCTCGAAGTTTCCATGGAGTTAGATTTCACATATTTTTAGATGTGAGTTGCTTCTCTGGTAGCGGAACTCCTCTGCTGACAGCTGTTTGGTCTCAGTATGCTTCACACTTTTCACTGACTGAGGAGCTCAGAAAGCTTTTGGGTATGTGTATTATACATATATCCATACGTGCCATTAGAAATGAGATTTTCGATTTAAAAAGTAAGCAAAAGTTTAAACCTTTACCTTTTTTTTTTAAGTAGTGAACCCATTTCATGTTAACGTGAATAACACGTCTTGTGAAAAACAACTCTAACTTTTCAAAACGAAGTAATTACTGAGTGCTCTGGGACAAATAGGTGACCAAAAAAGAAGAAAGGAACGCCTGCAGAGGGTGGCGCTGTGCTTAGCCCTGCAGACCCCTCACGTGTGCTCATAGAAGACAGCTGGATTCTCATGTCCGCTTCTGCAGTCAGTCAGGTCACACGTCAGGCGCTGGAACACTCCACCGTATACTCAGGAGAAGGAAAGTGAAAAATGAACCTTGCAGACCCCGAAAGGGTCTCGGGAGTCCCCTGGCCCCAGACTACATTTTGAAAACCTTGGACTCCTTGAATATCATCATGTGTGTGGCCCAACACTCCCAGAAGACAGCTAGGGACACTGAGGCTCACAGGGTTACCCGTGGGTGGACACCCGGCCGGGACACCCAGCCAAGAGCCCTGCTTGAGCGCGGCGCTCTGTCCTTTGGACGTATTCTCCGAACACACTGCCCTTTTGCAGGAAAAGGGTTGTCTTTCTTGCCATAGGCTTTGACGTGTACCCTTGGAAGTGGGAATGCCCCCAGCCCATACCGAAGAGTTTGTGTGAATTCACCCGAGACCTATAGGCAGAGTAAAAACTCCCTTACCCCCAACAGCTACCTACCAACATTGCCACCCCAGGTTTCACGACACCATGTAACAAAATTGTGATATTTGCCGTCCTGGCCCCAAAGCTCAGCATGGCGGCTTGCCTGTGGGCGGGTCCCTTTTGCGTCCCCTGTCCAGTCTCCATTTCCTCCTTACCCTCTTCTGACCCTCCCCACAGCCTGTCAAGTGTACTGCACCAGTGTCCTGACGTTTCTCCCTGACACCTCTCCCTGCCAACCCCCTCTTCCTCCCTCGGCCACCTCCACCTTCTTGCTGCCCAGACCCTGAAGGCCTGACGGACCCGGCCTTGCCTCCAGGGCATCTGAGTGCCCTCCTGGCCCTGTTTTCTCTACTCCCTCTGGTCCCCAGCACTGGCTGTTCGTTTCCTGTGAGTGCCATGCCCTTCCCCACCTGCATCTTTGCACTGTTTTCCCCAGAGTGTTTTCCCAGACCTCTGCGGACAGCCTTCTGAGCCCCCGCACTGGGACTGCCCCCCCTGGACAGTGATGATTCCTACCTACATTTGGAGCTTTCACGTGCTCTTAAAAGCATTTTCTCTCTCCCTCTACCCTGTGGGCCTCTGGGGGAGGGGAACACATCTGGTTCATCTCAGGCCCCCCTCCTCCGTCCCCTCGTCCTCAGTGCTCAGCTGAGGGTCTTACCAGCACTCAGTGAACAAGGGAGTGGCTCCTGACACTGGCGACAACTCTTTTTCCCTCCACAGGCTCTGCAGAACATTGCTGCCATCAGCCTGGCCATCAACTACCCAAACAAGGCCACCCGCCTCTGGAATGTGGAGTGTTAGCCCTTGGTGTGGCGCGTGGGACTAGCTCATCTGCCACAGGGACTTTAGAGCAGACAGCCAGCCTCATTCAGGAACACTCCTGTAGCGCCAGTACCTGGCTCTCCTTGAGCTGACTTCCACTCCAATTCGGATGCCAAGCAGCCACGCCTCCAAGAGCTCCTGTGCATAGGCTGGACACAAGCACAGGCTGTAGCATGTTGAAAATAAGCCAAGCGGTGCAGAATGCCTCAGAAAGGGTGGGCAGGGGGCCCTTGAGAAGGTGCAGAGACCAGCCTTCTCCAGAGGCTGTCCCTGCAGGAGCCAAGGGCCTAGGAAGACTTGGAAGCAGCCTCTCAACTGGTTTCTGTCTCACTTGCCTTCAGAGGAGGCACAATCCACCCAGATCCACCCTTCCAGCAAGACCGCCAGCGGCTGCCCAGCCTGGGACCTCTTTGCTTTTCAAACCAAACCAAAACTGGCGAGAGCCCCTCCTGGCCACCACCGATCCCCAAGCATCCAGTACCGAACCAGGCATCGAGCTAGCTCCCTGCACGGCCGCGCCCTCCCAGAGAACTCCTTGAGAGGAACAAGTGCCCTTGGGGACAGCCGGCAGGCACCCCTGTACGTCCGCTCACGCGCCAGGCAGCACCACCGCGGTTTCTCAGTTGTTTTGACATATTTCAGTTTCCACCTCACGTTTTTAGAGCAGAACCACACTGTCTCCCTGGAGGGGCTCAAGGGCATGACCCGGGACTGACCATTCTGTGAAAGTAGCAGAATGTGAGGAGCACGCGTGAGCTGCTGTACCTTGAAGATAATCAGAGGACATCTTATCTTAAGAGTAAAAACCCACATCATTTTATTTCTGCTTGACAGTCATGGTGGTCTGTCATACCCACCTCTGGGACTCTGCGTGGCTGTTTGGCTGTCACTTGTAGCAATAACGGCATTAGTTCTAGTCAGTGCTGTTTTACATTTTTCTTTTGATGGGTTTAGTCTTGCACTGGAGTGCCGATGGTGATTCTCCCTCCAGAGCCACGCTTGGGAACATGAAGCAAGCCTGGCATGTGGGCTGCGTGCCGGCCTTAGTGGACCTGTGGGGATGAAGCACGCCTTTAGGGGCAGTGTCTGGCCCGGAAGCACGTGCCACCACACAGTGTCAGAGCCAGAGAAGGGGCCCAACCACCAAGACCAAGCTTGACCAGGTCGGCATTGCCATGACCCAGTGTGGCCCGTGGCCTCTGAAGACCCCTCTCTGCAGGGTTTGCAGGGATCTGGATTGCAAGGGCCGGAGTATGTAGGTCTGGAAGCATCTTCCTATAAGAGCGCTTTTGCCTGGTGGGTCAGGACTCCAAGGTGCAGCAGGCTTCACAGCCCTACAATTAGGTTCTCAGCTAATCCCCAGAGTTCTGGTAGAACCATCCCGGGGCGGGCGGAGGGTGGGATTCAAGGGAGACAGGAACACATGGGCAGGTCCTGGAATTCGGTGGCCTGAGGACTGAGGCCATCGCCTGGTGGAAAGGCCTGGCCAGGTTCCCGTGGCTTGGTACCTGAATAGGCAGGTGCTGCTGGCTCCGTAGAAACCCTTTTCCCATCTTTTGCTGTTTGCCAAACCAACCTTGCTTTGGGAGCTGCCTGCACGCCTCCCCCAGAGAAGGTCCCACCTTCTGCGCCCCTCAGACCCGAGGAGGTCTCCCAGTGAGGAGTTTGCCAAGAGGGGGACTCACAGGAAACAAGGCTTGGTGCTTGGGAGGGAGGCCCCGCTGCGTGCTCAGACTCAGCCAACCTGGAAGGTAGACGAGGAGATAGCACCACCCACACGCCTCCACACCCCAGACTCCGAGTAAAGCGGGCAGCAGGGCAGGAGTCACCCCTTGTGGCAGTGGCCGCCGCTGTACTCCATCCTCCCATCGGGAAGATCAGCTGTAAATAAACGCTGGGCTCTTCAGAGCACCTGTCCGCGCACTGCCCTTGCTGTCCTGGGCTCTTCGCTGCAGTTCACGGGAAACAAGCCTGAGTCTGCATCCGCGACGGCTCCGCCCGGACGCTTCTGCCTCCGGCCACCGGGTGGCGCTGCCGAGCCAGAGCCGCCGCGTCCGGAGCTTTCCAGGAGCCCCAGGCCCCGGGGAGGCGAAGCCCGCAGAGCAAAGGTGGAAACACGTGCCTACGCTGTAAAGAAATCCTGTTCCAGAGCATACCTGTTGTACAAACAGACACTGTTCCTAACGAGAGGAGTGACGTATTTTCATCACCGTTTTTAATTTGTTTTCTTACGGGTTTACGATTTTGAATTTTTCTTATTTGGTTGAAAGAATTTTGATTCTATCAACCTGAGTTCAGCCTGTAAAAAGGATGTTAAGCTGTGGGTAAAATATGCAAACGAAGAGAAATATATTGTACAAATTCTATATAATAAGGTACGCCTGTGTGTGGACTCGTCTCTCCCTCGCCCCGCCGTGTCTCGTGGAGCTCAGGCGTGGAGTTTACACCGCGCCCAAACGGATGCGAGGCGGACCCTCGGGGCTCAGGGCTGAAAGGAATGGAGAGCTGCTGTAGCCCTTCCTCCAGACCATCCTCCGCCCAAGCCCGCAGCCCCCGCCCCTTCCCCAGGGCTTTGGTTCAACCCCCACCCCTATGCGGCCATCCAGAGGTTTCCACGCATGGCGCCGCATGGCTCCGTCTCTTTGGGGCCTCTGCTCTGCAGCCAGGCACCCCTGGCCCCACCGCCCGCCGTGGGCCGCTCTGGTAGCCCGCAGGACACTGCGGAGCCCGGAGGAGGAAGGCAGGGCCCGAGTCAGTGCGCCGGCTGCCCTGCAGGACTGGCTGCCTTCCCGCCGGCCTCTGGACCCTGCCTCTGACCCAAGTGTGGCCCGAGGTTTACCTGGGCCTCCCGCTTCCTCCTCCCTCCAGCCTCTGCTTTGCCACGCGCTGCTCTGTCCCCTTCCCAGAGGCATTCTGAGGCTGAGGATTGTCGGGCAAACAACAGAAGAGTGCCTTCTTGGCGGGGGCTGCACTTAACCAACCTTTGAGGCCCATTTGTTCCAGCCCGGCAGAGTCTGACACATCCCCCAAAGCCCCAGACTGCTTTCGGGGGAGCCCCAGTCAAGGCCTGGGCCCATCCTCAGCCCTCACCGTTCCTCAGCCCAGAGAGAAACCGGGTTCAGCCTGAGACTCAGCAGAACCGGGTGCTCCCAGGCCTGTGCCACTCCCGAGGCGCTCTCTAGGGCCTGGTGCTAGAGATATTGATGCCCTCCCTGCCTCACCTTGTCCCTTAGCAGGCGTGTGCCTCTGAGCCCTGCCCGGCTGGTGTGACTAAGGTCACTGCTGAGACTAAGCCAGCACCAGCAGACTAAGAAGGGTACAAAGAGCCAAGGCAAGTTGAGCCCAAGCTTTTAGAACTGAAGAGAAACACGGAGTTCCACCAGCTGAGCCTCATTTGATGGAGAGGCAGAAGCGGTGGGAGGTCAGCCTGGAACCACCCAGGAGGCAGGTGGAGAGCCCAGGCCGGCAGCCATGGCTGCAGCACAGAGGCCCACCCACTCAATACATGCCCTCCACAGACCCAGCGCCGGCGCTTCATGCTGAACCACCAGTGAGCAGGCCAGGCACTCAGACGGAAGCCAAGTCAAAACGGCCTGGCCGGGCGCAGTCTCACACCTGTAATCCCAGCACTTAGGGAGACCGAGGCGGGTGGATCACCTGAGGTCGGGAGTTCGAGACCAGCCTGACCAACATGGAGAAACCCCGTCTATACTAAAAATACAAACTTGGCCTGGCATGGTGGCGCGTGCCTGTAATCCCAGCTACTCGGGAGGCTGAGGCAGGAGAATCGCTTGAACCCGGGAGGCGGAGGTTGCAGTGAGCTGAGATGGCACCATTGCACTCCAGCCTGGGCAACAAGAGTGAAACTCCGTCTCAAAAAATAAATAAACAAAGCATGGCCCTGTGGCTTCCCTAGCTGCCACCCCCTACCCCTCCCCTCCCCTCCTTCCCTGCTGACAAAATCCAATTTTTTGCAGGTGGCGACTATGCATAGTTTAATCTCAGGAAAGGTAGGACTTTCTACCAGCTCATGAGGAAAGTCATGATTGATTTAAGTCCTCCCCGTTCCTCTCCCCCGCCAATAAGCTCACTTCTGTATCCCAGCCCTTCTTTCTGTGAGGCCGTCAGAGGCGTCTGAACCAGAGCAACTCCATGTCAAATAGGGGCGGGTAAAATAAGAATGAGACCTACTGGGCTGCGTTCCCAGATGGTTAGACATTCCGAGTCACAGCATGAGCTAGAAGGTCGGCACAAGATACGGGTCATGGAGGCCCTGCTGATGAAACAGGTTGCAGTAAAGAAGCCGGCCAAAACACCAAAACCAAGATGGCCACAAGAGTGACCTCTGGTCGTCCTCATTGCTACGCTCCCACCAGCGCTGTGACAATTTACAAATGGCATGGCAATGTCAGGAAGTTACCCTGTATGGTCTAAAAAGCGGAAGCATGAATAACACACCCCTATTCAGCATATAATCAAGAAATAGGCCAGGTACGGTGGCTCATGCCTGTAATCCCAGCACTTTGGGAGGCTGAGGCAGATGGATCACGAGGTCAGGAGTTCAAGACCAGCCTGGTCAACATGGTGAAACCCTGTCTCTACTAAAAATACACAAATTAGCCAGGCATGGTGGTGCGTGCCTGTAATCCCAGCTACTCGGGAGGCTGAGGCAGGAGAATTGCTTGAACCCAGGAGGCAGAGGTTGCAGTGAGCCAAGATCACGCCATTGCACTCCAGCCTGGGCAACAGAGTGAGACTCTGTCTCAAAATAAATAAATAAAAAGAAATAACCATAAAATTGGGCAACCAGTAGCCCTCAAGGCTGCTCTGCCTATGGAGTAGCCATTCTTTTTTTCTTTACTTTCTGGATAAACTTGCTTTCACTTTACCCCGTGGACTCACCTCAAATTCTTTCTTGCATGAGATTGAAGACCCCTCTCTGGGGTCTGGATTGGGGGCCCTCTCCAGGAACAAGACGGCTCTCTGGCTGCATTCTTCAGAGGCTCTGGGGAAGGAGCCCTGCTCCTACACACTCCCTTTGTGCTCAGACAAGGTGCCTGGCCTCGCACACACTCTTGCCGCCATCAGGTAAAAAGCTGGAGGCTGACAAGCCAACACTCTGGGGCCGTGGGAGCAGAAAGCCAGAAGTCTGACAGTCTTAGGCCTTCATTCCATTGTTTGAGCCCCAGAACTACCCATCTCCTCAATTTCAAAAAAAAACAAATTGAAGTAAATAAAAAAGTGTTATAAAAAAACTGAAGCTGATTCTAGTAATTAACAGTGATAGCCGCGAGGTGCAGTGGGATCAGGCCTGTAATCCCAGCACTTTTGGAACCCAGCAGCAAGAGGATCAATCGCTTGAACTCAGGAGTTTGGGAGTACCAGCCTGGAAACACAGTGAGGACTTCATCTGTACAAAAACTAAACAGAATTAGCCAGGCATGGTGGTGCATGCCTGTAGTCCCAGCTGCTCAGGTGACTGAGGTAGGAGGATTGGCTTAAGCAGCACCATCAAGTCTGCGGTGAGCCATGATCATGCAGCTGTTTTCCAGGCCTGGGTGACAGATGAGGCACTGCTCA